TTTACCTGCAAAATTTTTGACATTTCTCTGCTTCATTTAGTACCGAGATTTGATAGATGTTCAATATATAAATAGAGGCACGAATTCTTTTGTGTAAAAACCATTTCTGAAAAAAAAAAGTTGAAAATTTCATTAATATGGGTTGCGCATAATTTTTGTAGGTTTTGATTTTACTTCGTAAGTAAATACAAACCTTGGCACTCATATTCCTTATCACAATATTTCTCTACACAATTTCATGTTTCCTGACAGCATTGCCCGAACCTTGGGTATGGACAACAAAGCTCACACCTTTGTTCTGTAAACTCAGAACTGCAACCTAAAATAACAATTTAAAGAAATATAGCAGCGTTCTGCTGCATACTCTGTAAAAATGATTATATGATTAATAGAAATACATGTCTGATGAGCGAAGTGAATTTTTTATATTGAGGATATTTACCTTTTATATTTACATCAAGACCAGTAGTATTCTTCCTTAATAAAAGGAGGAAGTATGATATCACAGATATTTATATAATTTACTGCTTTTACAAATCATATACAGTATCACCTTATTGATAAGGTATCAAATGAAGTTTAAATTAAACAATTGAAAGTCATTAAAAAACAAAACACGTTAATTAGCACCAGGATCTAACTTACTCTTGACGGCTGTCTTGAAAAATATAAGTTGTACTAAAGTCAGATAGAAAATAAAAATACGAGGGCTGTTCGGAAATTATTGAGACATTTACTTTTACTCCACAAAGGATATAGATAAATTCATGAAAATTAGTCAACATTTTATGAAGAACAAATAAAACAAATGTGCAAAATTTCTAATTTATAGGATAATTAAATAACCTTCGGTGAAATTGTAAACATGCACATGTCTAAGACCTGGTGCAGCATCGCTACGTCATTTTAAAGTCACGTCAGCCGAAGATGTTTTCTCGTGAAACGATTGGGAAGCTTGTACTCTTCTTTCTCTATTATCACATATATCGTTAACATTCCAAAAATATTTGTCTCTTTTCTTAAACACTTCTTTGAAATATATATAATAAAACGTGTGCTGTTGCCACCCCAGTGTAAAATATACATGAAGTGTCTTATACACGTTGACTTAGCATCATGCAATACCGATTTATGCAAAGGGGGTCAACGTTATTTAGTCCGTAATAATTGATGGTCGTCCGGAGCTTTTGTTTTAACTCTGATTGAATTATTTGTGAGGAAAAAAATATATACCAATGACAAAGCAAACCTTTAGACATGTTTTATTGCATTGTTATTGTTTTAACAGGTCGTTTAGTCTGGAAAAGTGTTCTCCATAGCGCTGAACAAAATTTTAGGTATGCTCACTGCGCCACCTTAACGTCAAAATCCATTTTGTCGTTATCAGATTTCTATACAGCGCTTAAATTTTTAATGATCTCTGTATTTTTGATTGAAATTCTAACAAACTTGCACAAAATGAAGTCAAAATTTAATTGAAAAATTATATACATCATTTGAAATATTTTCGATCTTACTATGGGACCACCGGGAATTTGAACGTTGGTGTTACACATATTTAGTATCTGATTTTGTGACTGCGCCGGGTACCCCTACTAGTGCCTCATTACTAAACCATTGAAAAGAAGAAATAAAATAATTGTAAAATAACTCTTGTTTTTATTAATTCTTAGTGTTTGTCAAACGTATATGCAAATTTTCACCGAAATACGTTTTTGATAAAGAGGAATATAAACAGTGCCTCAATAATTTCCAAACAGCTCTCGTATATCTTGCAAAATTTCTCGTCTACGAAAGATACACCATCATTTTCCAAAAATACCGAGATTCAGTCGTTTTAAATCGGACAACCTCTAAAAAATAAAATTTTATTTACGTGCTAAAATATACATTACAAGCAAGAGATAGAAATAATGCATATCCAACTGTTAAATAGTAAATTAAAGTGGCTTCTTACTGCATTCGATAAATAAAGATAATCAAATATATTGAACATGTTGAAGGAAGATAATACATATGTTTATTTTTGGAATCGTAACACTTGAAAAACTTTTGGTTTACATGAGAAAATAAGTATTCCACTCGCATATTATAATTCATATGTTGTTTGGCAGTTACTCAGCAATATCAGCCAGAAAAGAAAGATCAGCATCCTTCTTTATGCCATCTTTGGATCAATTTTATCTATGCTCATATTTATGAATAAATGGTAATATACTGCAATAATGATGATGAAGATGAAGACACACGCGCGTTTGGACTTTCTTTGGTATCTACTATCTTTGAAGACCTTCCTCAGATCGCGTTAGCCATTTTGGTTTCCAAATCGACCAATGAACGTCTATCTCCACTTCAAATTTTAAAAGCTTGCTATGCTATCGCAGAAACGGTGATTCAAATCATTTTCATTTCGTCAGATTCGTAAAATTACGAAAGATATATTTGATGATCATAGAGGAAAACAGAGTTGTAAAAGTAAAAACTTCGTCGTGTTTCCTGTTAATGCAATTATTACATCTACTTGTTGATAAAGTTAAAACATAATTTAAATAATTTATTTATTTTTGTTAATATTGTATATTAAGGAGGATTAGTGCTAAAATATACTAAAACATTGACATTAAAAACGATAGAATGTTTATCTGATGTTTTTTTTTAATGATTACATATATTATTAAAAAGATTTCAGTGCTTTAAGTAAACAAATGTTTACATGTTGGGAATGTATTTATGTGCTTGCAGGGATATGTATTTAGGTTATGAGTGTGTGCATGATCTTTAAAAAAAAAGTAACTGTGTTACTTTTTTGGGAACATAATAAACTTATCATCTGCTTAAGGCATTGGAAAAACTGAAACGCGACAACTGACCAGCTAAATCGTAAAGAAGACACATCGCCACTGTCAAAACATATCTCTGCAACTATGCAATCCTGTGTAATGTTTACGTTGCTTTGAAAATAATAATTCCTGATTAAAGTTTAGAATTTATTGAAGTCCAAAAGTACAAAACAAAACTGCATTTTTACACAAAGGTTTTAAGAGAGTGTCCTTACAGACAAACTCACGCACGTCTCATCCTTGACAACTCCACCCACTTTTCATAGATGAACCAATCAAACAATTTTTAAGACAGTGGTAAAATTAGGGAAAAGCTCAATGGCATTAATTTAAAGAACAGGAAACAGTGTGAGTAAGCATAACAAATTCAAAGAAACATTGGTCTCAGATCTGACCATAAATCTGATAACAATTATAAGCGAATGGCATCGATACCGTGGGACGGGAGAGAGAGATGTCAAGATGAGAAATTACAAACACGTGCGGTAATGCTCTTTCTTAAGATCAAACAAAACAATTAAATTTCAATTACAGATTTTCAACAAGTCAAAAAAAATATTTAAACAATGCCTAAATCATTATAAGTACATGAAGAAAATATCTAATGAGTTGTCTTTATCAATAAAATATACACATGTATACAACACCTGATTACTATTATCAAAATTTACGTAACCCCAGCACAGTAAATTCCTCTGCTGTTTCAATTGATGCGTTAAAAACAACAGTTAATTTTCTACTCAGCGATGTTAGACTGGGTAAATATTCTTGTTCATACGAACATTGCAAACTTTGCAATTGATTCAGCGAAATTTCACAGACATCGAAAAATTGGTTATGTAAAAAGAGAGACTTTTTAAAACAAAACTGCAACTTTTTATTTTTGTACAAAAGCATGCTCTGAGTACGATGAATTAATTTTAAACCTTGAAAGATTACTGACAAGTAATTTTATGTGACAGGGCTTTCAATAACCTCATTTAGAATCAGCATTTTAAAAATCCTGTGGTCTTTATACTGTCCTTGTTTGCAAATTCAACCTCCCATTAGGTCGTGTTTTTACTGGTATGTTTCATTCCAATTGTTCTGTCATTGTTTTAATTTAAATTAATCAGATAAGTAAAATATAATTCTTGATTTTTTTCATACAAGGATGTCATAAGAGCTTGAAAAGTTTTACACTCATGTAGCACAGAAAGTGTGCCTTCTATTAAATATGTCATTAGAGCTTGAAGCATATTACAGTTACAGCACGAGAAAAAGTCTTGTTAATTTTTTTCCAATAAAGATTTCTATAGAGCTGAAAACATTTCACACTAATATAGCGAAAAAATAAAGTCTTAAGGAGTCTTATTTATGTATTCATCCCTAGGCATGCAAGTTTATGAGAACTATGATGCTTTCTAGGAAAATCCTTACGATCCTTAGTTTTTAATAAGTTTCTCAAAACTTCCTACATGTAAATTTAAAAGATTGCCAGTAATCTTTAGGACAGCTTGAATATTGGTGATTATCAGAAGCTTGTACACATAACAGCTTTTGTTGCAATGTTTGAAAACTTGCAGAAGTCCACCTCATCCAATTAAGAGCACCCGAACCTATGAACTTGAAAAATTCGAGTTTCTTCTCTTACTCATCATGCATCAATGAAACTTCACAAAAAAAATTATATCGGTATTGGCCGTGTTTTTGTCCAAGATGTTAATTTATTTATTTTAGTCTTTTGCCTTGAGTTTTGAATACGCTGAGGTATTAAACGAATTAAACTATCGCGAATGCCGTGTTAAATCATGGTACATGTATTTTAAACACTGAATGGTTTCTTGTCCCACAAAATCAATGTTTTACGGAAAAATCATGTTGAAAAAAAAGAAAGATTATTTTTTATTTTAATTTGATGGATGTGGTAGATAAACAAGAAATCTTCAGAACGTGTTTCGATATCATATATTTTTTTTCAATCCAAACCTGTTCCAAATAAACTGATTATTTTTGTCCCTATCGTGCGGCATTTCGCCTTTCAAACAGGCAGTCTAGTTTTCAAACTTTCAGCTGAACGTCTCTTAGAATTTCGATCTAAAAATAGAATATTTCTAAACATAATCTGAGAATTCCGATGATATTTATAGTTGTCTGAGTTGGATTTTAGAACAGCACGGAAGGCATTTGCATCTTACTGTAGCAGTAGTTAAAAAGAAGGTAAGCTAATACTTTGTTCTTGTATAACTACAAATGTGTTTTTGGAATATGGTTTTTTCATTTATTTAAGCCAGGAATTTCAAAAGGACTCCATTTTAAGAGGGTTATTTCCCATATTACTTGATGAACATTTTCCCGATAAACATCCATAGGATTTAAGAAATCGTCACACATTAAGAAGTAATTTAATTGATTTCAAAAAAAAAAAACATTTCACGTAAACATTGTATTAAAATTAAATTGTCTTTTTATCTTTAGAATCACACTGCTAAGAAAATGGCCAGTGATATGAAATGTGGTAGTTTTGCGCTTTCTATGTTTTCTGAAATTATCGACCTCTTTCTGGATTGGGATTTTTTCTACGAAGTCAACAAATCATCTGTTGTTGAAAATAATGTAAAGAGCGCAATTCAAGGTTTTGCTATTTTGGGAACAGTTTTGTTTGTTTTTACATTCATAAGCCAGTCGTGTGATGCATGCAGCGATGATGAAGAAGAAAATCCATGTACACCGACGCTTTCGTTAGTTTCGACTGCACTTGAAGATTTCCCGCAAATAATTTTAGCAATTATAGTTGCTATGCACACTTCTGAACTTATTTCATGGATTCAGATTTCAAAGGCACTGTATGGAATTATTGAGCCTGCAATACGAATAACTGTAATTTTAGAAGAAAGGGAGAATAGCAGACAGAACTTTAGAGAGTCCCCATATCTGTGTGCTAAACACTGTGATATGTGCATAAGCGGAATAATTCTGATGTGTTCCATTGCACTGCTTTTTGAACTTGCATTTGACTTTTTCCATTAAAGCGACGGATCCAGGAATTTCATAACGGGGGGGGGGGAGTGCAGTAGAAGGCAGGGGGTCGGGGCTGCATTGAAGCCCCAAGCAGGCTCAGGGCAAAGCCCTGGTGGGGGGGGGGGAGGCGTACACGAGGCGCACCGACGCTGGATCCGCCTTTGGTGACGCACAAACGAGAAAATTAAAAAACACAGAATTTTTGCATGGCCCGTGCAAATTTTGTTCAATTCCTGAAAGTATTACATGTAGGTTTCAGAAAATTACAGGATTCGAAACCTAAAAATCTACTTTCATAAAGGAAAAAAATTTTTTTATGGCCCAATACGAAAATATTGCTTTTCTTCTTTCTCCTAATTGTACGCGTGTGAAAAAAGTTAAAGAAGTTCCCATGGTCTCAAGTACCAAAAAATGAATGCCGGTAGACCACCAATTTTGATACAATCTTCAAAAAACATTATTAGAACATATTTATTACTTTTGCATGCTCCAAGTGAAAGTTGTTTACAAGTTTACTCTAAAAATAAAAGTGGTGTGACATTGACATACACAGTAACAACCAAACGGTAGATGCAACCTTTGTTTTTCCGGCACTTATATTGTGGAGTCTTTTATTGCTTTGCAGTACAGTTTATTTGTCATATCTTCGCTACAATCATAATTTTCATAAATCTGTCGCTTCGTGATACAGATATCTAAGAAGAAACACATGTTTTCGTCTCATTATGTAACTTTAATAAAATAAAGGGTTCTATCTTTGATAAATCTCACTTTATGAGGTTTCTTTGTTAAATATTCAATGTTCAAAGGATCATTTTTAGATAATATTTTTACACATAGAGTTACCAAAGTACCAATTGATATCGACATTATAAAATTGTACGATTCTGTCTCTTCTTAATTTGTTTAAAATAGCACTTGTGCCCAGGAGGCGATTAATATGTGGACAATGTAAAATCCTTTACCTAGCTCTGATGCAACGATTGTAAGAGAAATGGAGGCTTACTACGTGCAAGCCATCTTTTTATCAGTTTGATCACTGACATCAATCATATAAAGTAAACTTTCATTATTTGTTACTTGATCATTGATTGCTCGTCCTATGTCTAGTTTTCAATGCATATTTTCTTAAAATGCATCTATGGTGTTTCCATATGAACGCCAATGTTCGACAAGTTGAATGGAGGATATTGGTTTTGATCTAGCTAGCATAGGAAATATTGTTGATTTATCCATGGGAAAATAGGTCTGTAAGCGCTGCTTCCCTTGTATTTATTAATTTAAATATCGTTCTAATGTCTGCTTTTATAGTACAATGTACTCGTCCCTACAATAAATATTTAGTTCAACTACGATTATCTTTGTCCTTTGTTCCCATTCTTCGAGAAACAAGATAGTTTAGTAAACACCGATCAGCTTTGAAGCAAGTTACCTCGGAGAAAGTGGTTATTTGAATTTTTCATTGTGTACTATATTTTCACTACCAAATATAAGTGCTGATAAATTAATCATTACTTCTATAATCTATGTTGCTTAATACGTATTTGAACTATGCGAAAGTATGCAGTCCTTTTTTGATTAAGTTTTATTTCAGCCATGTCTATTATAAAAGTTTTAAATAAATCAACTGACTAGACTCCATTTTCCTGACGACCTTGGATATCAGATACATGGGACACTCATTGTATGTGTAATTTTAACACTTATATTAAATTAAATCATTTCGATCAGCATTTAAAACTGATTTCATACAAAGAGATACACGCATGTTAGATTTATTACATTGATTTCTTTTAAGATATAAAGAATTAAATGTTCATTTAAATGCTTCTTTATGGTTGATCTATCAATAGATGTTTTATTATCTTAAAAATACTATTCTTAATTGCAATCCCTACTTATCATTGTAGGCCTACATACATCGCTGTGTGGTTTGTATGTAATTTCCTTAACGATATTGCTAATGCCTTGAAAAACCAGATCCAGGATTTCATGTTGGAGGGTTGGCAAAGTCAAATATCTCAACCAGCTTTCAAAAGAACGAAAGGTTAAACAAATGAATTGCTGATTTATTAGACAAGCAACATCTTTAGTTTCTATTATAGAGATTGATCATTAATCCATGCCAAAATCGTTTTGGACAAGCAGAGAAATGTGTATACATTGCATGAAAAAATTCAACACTTTTAGTCAGCATTCCTAGCGGAGAGTGATACACTAGTAGCTTATAAATCTTCTTCCATAGATACAAAAACAGTGGAACACTTGCGATTTTTTATTTCGCCTGTTATTGGAGATATTAGATTATTTGGAAATCTTTTTAGAATAAAAATAAGTTGAGAAAATGATATTAATTAACAAAATATTACATAAATTAAAAAGTCGTAAGAACGACGTGATCTTTTCCAACAAAAGAATATTAGATTGTCCTGCTTTAAATTTTAAGTATATGAAATATGGAGATAATAAGCAGTAATCAAGCTCAAAAGTCCACCGAAATGATACAAATCGGGAGCAGAGCAAAAAAGGACCTCGAAAAGCATTAGTGGGGGATCAGGTACCATGGAGGAGTAAGCATCCCCTGTCGACCGGTCACACCTGCCGTGTTCTCATTTTCATGATTAGGCAAACGGAAAAATCCGTATACAATTCAGTTTGGAAATAATGTACTAACAATTAGTATGAAAACCGTCAGTCAGCATTCAACTTAATGATGGATTGTATTTGCTGACAAGGTCATTTTATCGACCATAGAACTTGCGAAATATTGACTTCAAACGAGACTGTTGATATTTCTACAAAACCTAAGAGATTGCGAAAGAGTGTATAGTCATGATAGTTTTGTGTGACATAGAACATTGGTTATACGTACATTGTGGCATTTGAAAAAAAAAAATGTTTTTTAATAATCGTATATCTTAATACATTGACATCTACGATCACAAAATTAAGAACATTCCAAGAAATGAAATTCATGCTATGTAATCCACCTATACAACTGTATATAGAAAATATCTGCATTTTCGCTTCTTATTTTAATAAAAATATTCCTTAACGAGGTTCGCTCCTGAGCTTTTGAGCAGATTTTTATTTTAACCTATATTTAAAAAAATCTGCGTAATGTTTTAATTCTTACAATAAATTTGGATTCTACAATGCCAAATAAACTATATTCAGTTAAAACTCCATGATTAAATTCCGTACCAAAAGCATTAAGTGAGGAACTATATTTTGTGGCGGAAGGTTTTTTAGAAGAAAATGATCATTTTTTCTCTTTCGAAGTATTTGAAGTATGTTAAGTTTGGATTCCTATTTTTACATGCAGTCTGCACACAGAATTATTTTGAGCAGTGAACTGTTTTATACTGGTCCTAAATTATATATTTAATAGACTGTCATGAATTCAATCATCATATTTGATAAATAAATCAAATATATTGTGAAAATCAAGAGAAAAAATAGCCCTAATTTAAGCTCAAAATTAGCACTATTTTAGTAATATCTAAAAAATAACATCACAGACCCCCACTTTTAACTTTCTTTTCTCAATATACAAGATACTTTTAATCATTCTTCTTAAATTCAGTGAAATGACATTACTTTTAAATGAGTTTTTTTTTCTTGTTAAATTTGTAATGCTAGCAAAATGAAATTTTTTGAGTGCAAAAAGGTCAAAAAATGGAACGTGCGGAGTACTTTAAAATTTTTTTTCGTTGTCAAAAATTTTAATGGGTCTATTCAAGATGAAATAAAACTGTGTTTGTTCCCATAACTTATTTGAATAAAAAATATCGGAGGAAAAACTTAAAAAATTGATTTATGTGTAATACGTTTTTACAGTGCAAAAAGGTCAAACTAAATGCTCTGTAGCGCCAAAAGAAGCGCATTGACCCCCATTTTTTGTTTTGGTTTTTAATTAAGCTATGTGTATAAATTCTAAAAATATACTTGATAAAAAATCCTCATTACTTTTGATGTCAGGATCCAACCTCCTTAATAGGAAAAGGCATGCAGATTTCCATTTATTCACAATCACTTCATGCAATTGGCTGCTTTTAAAATATGAAGCGCTTTATGCAACAAATAAGGAGTATCTTTAAAAACTTTGATTCGTTTCTATAATCTTTTCAATTAAATTTTTTCGAGGCTTTATTAAATATTAGTGGTTTCAACCATCGCCTGAATCAATACAAAATGTTATTTATAACTTTAACAATGCAAAAAAGGTACCACGAACCTTTAAGACTAAACTAAGTTTGATTTATTTGAAAAGATTCTTTCTTCTATTCAAATTCAAAGAACCAAAACAGTGTATAAATACTGTTATGTTTGTTTTTATTCATCCAAAAACCTTCATTTGTTTCACATTCAGGCATTTTAATTCGTAAAAAAAGTATTAATCGAAAAGTTCCGTAATACATGTATAAACTAGGTTACTGTACATATAAAGCGGTTTTTGAAATAAAAGTGCAGCAAAAACCCTGGTCGTAATTCCATACAATATTAATATATTGAGGGGAATTCTTTTTTTTTTTGATACTCTACAAAAATTTTAGAAACCTTACTTAAAGTTAAATTCCTATAGTTTGATAAAGTTGTTAGTAAGAGATACATATTATGCTGACAGTTTCTTAAGTTATTGCCATTTTCCTTCTTATTTTTCTGTATAGATTATGAAATAAGACTTTTCACTGCTATTGACTGTTTTCAATTTCTATGTTTTATGATAAATGCTGTTAGTTTATTTTGTTACGGAAAAAACATATTTAAAGAAACAGCATATTTATAGATTTATTTATCTTATTAAAAAATAAAAAAATAAAAAAAACTTGTATGTGGTTCATACAGTGTAAAATTTGATGATGATGATTATGAGATGTTAAATCATCAAGGTAATTCACCCATTATCTAATTATGAATCTGCATGCCAAGAATTATTCAGTTATCAGTTTTGCATCAACAAAATGGTGCTGATAGACACATACTTTTAATTTTTTATTACTTATGGATTAAACATTTT